AAAAAAAAGGTCAAACAGTCAGATATGGACACTGACTCATTGTAAAGCAAATGTTGTACACACTTATGCCACATAGGAATGTTTTCTTTCGTGTTTGGTGTAGTAAAATGCTGGATGTGTTTACATTCTTCACCCTCAGCCAGGGCTGTTTGGGTTTTCATAGACCAGAAGATGATCTTTGGACAGGTTTTCGAATAACTAACCAGTTAACTATGAACCAGGCCAATACAAACCGGATTACTGCTATTCCCCTTTAAATTAACTGTCTGAGCTTCACCGTAGCATCTATAACAGTCCAGTTAACGCAGTGAGTTACTTTGTTACTAATCCAGCTCCATCTTCAAACAGCATGTAGAGTCATCTACAGCTGTGGTGGCATTTCCTGCACAGCTGGTAATGGGCTGAGCAGTCACAGGCCTGTGTGCTGGGCCCTCCGCTACAGCTCTAAACTATCCGCAACTATCACACTGATCACGCATCTGAAACACCGGTAAATCGTGAGATTACATTAACAGCATAGGCCAAATTATTAAGAGAAACCTGGCCTTGCACCACGATTGCGTTTAGCCGTCTTTTCCTTATTGTATTAGGAAAAAGAAAAAAAAGAAAAAAACAAAAAACAATCCTCTCTGTACCTGACCAACCTCGCCCATTCCTCCTGTGCCGTCGATGCGGGGACGCTTGCACTCAGCGCCGGTCGAGTCCACCAGAGCCGCCGCTGTCTGTCCGTCGGGCTCCGGGTCTCCTCGCTTCATGCCGCGAACAGCTGCAGGAGCGCCACCGGGGTTGGGATGCACCCCGGCCATGGGGTCCAGCTCTCTATCCCGGTCTATGAGACCCCGGGATACAGGCAGCATGATGGATGCAACGTCGGTCGACATTAACATTTAAAAATCTTTTGTTCCCTCTCTTCAGCTAAACGGGGCTAAAATAACCTAATCTAGTGCACCTCTGTGCTTAAATCGTCGGAGGGATTAAAACAGTCTTTTAATAATCCAAGTAGCTTTCACTGTATTTTGGGCCTTTGTATGATTCCCCCCCCCCAGTGAGTTGATGTATCTGGAAATGTTTTGGCTGTCTGGCTTAAAAAATGTCACTTGAAAAAAAAATATATATATATATATATAAAAGGAAATCTCACACAAGCACCGTTTTCCCTGTTATTTCATAACAGAGTCCCCTGCAATGCGAGCAGCTCTGTCGGGCTAATTTGCAGCTGTGTAGCCCCTGTCTGCTGACCGTGTATGTATTTACTGCGGGGATGCCTAAGAGGCCTACGTTATTTCAGATCATAACAAGCCAATTAAACAAACACCGATCAAAACAATGGCTCCTGAGCTTAGCCTACTGCCTAGTTTCCATTTGCTCCCCCCTCTCTTTCTCTCTCTCTCTTTTTTAACCCCACTCCAGGAGAGCTGTGTGTTTTTTAAGAGCACAACATCAATACCCTACCGCAACCTCAAGATGAAAAAAACCCTCAACATGTCTTCCCCGTCGCCCTTTTTCCTCCCTGTTAGCCACAGACTTTTACCACAGAGCAGAGGTTCACTGAAAGTCAATCCTCCTCAGGAGCTCTCTCTTCCCATGTTAGTCCGCAAGTCTGCGCTTAAAGAAAAGACGGCTTCTTCCCTCCCCCCAAAAAAACAAAAACAATAAAGCCAACCAACCAACCGAAGGACGGACAGGCGGACGGACGGACGCCGGGGCTGCAGCGTTTCCTTCTCCCTCTCTTTCTCTCGCTTATTATTTTCTTTCCGCTCTCCGCTTTCCCGGTGTGTTCATGTAGCGTGTGTGTTACAGAAAGGAAACTGTCCTCCCTCCCTCCTTTCCACCCTCCTCCTACTCTCTTGGTGTAGTCATTCCCCTCCTCCTATCTTCCGCTCTTGCCTTTGAACGCAGGGCCAGGCAGCCATGCAGCCTACAAAATACACGCAGTGTGCCGCAGTGCTTCCATACATTTCACCGAGGGGGAGGTGTGTGTGTGTGAGAGAGAGAAGGGGCGACACGCACTACAATCCAACCCCTCTCCCCCAAAAAATAAAACTGTAACTGTAAGCTGCTTTTACTATTCACATTTTTGTTTGTGCGCAGTTCTTCAAAATAAAAGTTTTTGCTCTTTAATGTTGGCCACATTACATGGCTGAATATTGAAAGGGGGTGGACTGCTCGGGAAGATTTCATGCCTAACTCATTACACAACCGATACGCAGGCCAAGGTCTTCACACAAGCCCAGCTGTGAGTCATGCAGCATGGAGTACCTTATGTTCCTCTGGCATTTTTATTGCTTGGATGACACCCAGTGGTCAAAGGGTACCATGGGAAAGGAGCACTTCAAAGGGGAACTGTTGTAGCGATTTAAAATACAAACAAGAGCAGACTTGCAGAGGTTTATTACATGTGTTGGTTCAGCACAATCTCGAGTCGCTTGACCTGAATAGTCCCAGTTTAATTTATTTTGGAAAAAAAACCTTTTGCAGGAGCCATGACTCCTCCCACTCTACCTTGCAAACATTCTCGTTTTCCCTCCCCAACTCTGATAACTGGATATTTCGGGATATACACTTATAATCACAGTTGAGTGACTTCTGCACAATAAAGTCTCCCTTGCACATTACCGCAATGCACAGGTTTAGCATTTTAATCATTAAGAATATGCAGCGGTTGTTTTTGATCTCATGCTTTATAGCCTTTATGCCACACAGACAGCTGCAGCCTTACATTTATCATTTTCACATGTGGATTCTCAGAGTTAGTTTCTATGCACAAATAATAAAATTCAAGCTTAATAGTAAAGTAGACAACTGCCCAAGGACACCAAGAGCCAGGGGTTTACTGTGAGTTGCACCTAAAAGGGCCTTTTAGGTGATTTGTGCCTTATTAAATAAACTCGAAGCTCAGCCCTTATTAGTGGGGTGACATTGGAGCATCTGTGGCTGAGGTGGTAATGATGGATTGATCCACAGCTCCTCTAGTCTGCATGTCAGTGTATATCTGAGCAGGTTACTGAACCAAGCTGGCCCTAATGCATCCATCGGCACATGTGTGAATGCTAGACAAAGTGTTTAGACCAGGGATGTCAAACTCACTTTACATTGCAGGCTAATCTTATGTGGGTCAGACCAGTGAAACACCCCTTTCTTTGAGTGTACAGAAACTAAAATATACAATCTCCAAGATAATTTAAATTATTTTCCTTATACTAACAGGATGTCTCAGTTTTTCCTACATGATAAAGAAGTGCAGCTGTAGTAGAAGAAGAGTTCTGACAGATTTACATACAATTTTTAGCTTGGAAATGTACCAAAAATCAAGAAATTATCAGGGTGTAGGGAAGGTCTACATCAATAGAAAAAAAACCTGTAATACTTTGTCCAAAATAGAGGTCCACCACTACATTCTCCAAAGCTGTCCAGTGGGCCAGATTGGAGGCTTTGCCAGTCCAATTCTTGCCATTGGGTCTCATTTGTGACACTACTTTCAGGGAGGGGGGGGGGTGTTGTACTAAGTACTCAAATTGAGTTGGGAAGTGCCGTCAGAAGGTTTCCCCTGGCATACATGGTGGCCTTTTTGTAGAATGTGTTCAGTCACAGTTGCATTACTACTTGAAGCTGCATAATAATCATGAATAACATTCACATTCAAACTGTGGAACGAGCTTCCTTTAGAGATTAGACAGGCCAGTTCTTTATCCGTTTTTAAGTCACTCTTGAAAACCCACCTCTTTACCCTGGCCTTTGACACCACGTGAGATGTTGGTTTTTATTTTAGTTGATTCGATGCAGTTTTATCTTGTTTTTGTTTTAATATAGGGCTGTTTTAATTTTATGTTTTATTTATTTAGCTGTTTTCTGTTATTTTAACTTATTTTCTGTACAGCACTTTGTTCCTGTGCTGGGTATTTTAAAGTGCTTTATAAATAAAATTGGATTGGATACTGTGTAATGAGGTCAAGCATGTCATTTCTGTCCACGCTGAGGTTTCTACCTCATTCTTCGTGCATAGCCTCCAGTCATCCTGCTCTAAACATGCACATAAAACCTACAGTATGTTCCACATAAACTTTAACAAAGCAAGGCAGACCCATGTGGGCTCAGTCTACTCCACAATGATAGCATGTCCACACAAAGTTGCCTCCCACTTTTTTTGATGTACTGCCACTTCCTACTGTAAAAGGCTGTCAGTTTAAAATTAATTAAAAAAAAAAAAAACACCAACCACACATGCTACTTGAGAGCTTTTATTGGTAGTTAAGAGTGATGGCTGAGGCCTGAAAAAGAAAAGGGGAAAAAAAAAAGGTCAAAGAAATGGTTAAGAAATTAACTTTGAAGTATATAAACAAGACGTAAACACAGCTGTTTTACTAGTCAGACAATCATCTTGGCTAATTTCATGCATTTACTGTGGTGTAACTGAAAAAAAACAGGAAATGGCTCCGTCTGAATTAATAATTCAAAACTGTCCTCATTACTAAAACATTGTCCTGCTGTCATATGGAACTGTAGCAACTACTGGCTCTCTGGCTGTTCTCGGAGAGTAGGCGGCTTGTGAAGGAGTTCATTCATGGCAGTTTTGTTGCGATCCACCCGAGTTCACAAGAGTGTGCTGGGTGATTTGAGGACAGAGCGCTAATTATCCTCACCGTCACTGGCCAAAGCATCCTTCAACACAAGGACCATCACGTGGTGAGCAGATTTCAGTCGAACACATGAAGTAGATCTGAGAGGGAAGAAAAGTAGAGCAGGATTTAATGTTGTGTCCAGTCTCCAGAGTGTGCAGCGTAATATTACAAACAGCTGCTGGCAATTGAGATGGGGCCAGAATTTGCAGCTTACAAAATGGCTCCTCCACATCTCATTAGGAATGCTGCCTAAGAGATTTAGAGATATAGCCACAAATCGTCTTCAGACAACACGTTTCCACTAGATGAAAAGATAACTCATCTGAACTGGCACTAATAGAGAGTCTACAAGCACACATTTGTTCACATTTTAACCAAATTAAGACAGGAAGCCTGGATACTGTACTGTGCAAGAGTCCCGAGTCACCCCTCATGTCTTTACAGTTTCCTTGCAAGGAGTCACACTTGTAATTTTTAAACATGTGTTAAAACAGTTTATACCCAATAAGTGTATCCAGAACAAATGTTGTACATGTATACATGTCAACTGTTATGTCACAGGACATTATGAAATCATGTTTATCATTTCAAGTTTGATTTTAACATGCAGGTCTGTGTCTCTGTAAGCTTTGAGCTAACAGAAAGGTGTATTTTTGCAAAGCCATGGCATCAAAAAAAAAGTCATATCCCAATTTAACAAACAATCCTAGGCCTACAGAAGTATTTACATGCCTATAGAGTAGCCCAAAACCATTATATGCAGAACTCAAGTGGCTGTGTTCCTGCTTACCTCTTCATCCAGATCCTTAAACTCACCATCAGGAAGGAACTGGAAGGTTGTGATGGTGAAGCGGCGGGTCTGAGCATCAGGAGAAAGTGGCTGAGGATGCGATGGAACAGCCTGTGGCGGTGCTGGGTCCAAAGGGTTGGGACATCTGTGGAATAGATGAGAGCCAATGTGATAACACGTTTTACTTTCCATGTAAAAATCAAATATTTGTGAGAAGAAAGTTTTGATACTCCTACAGACCTCTCCTCCTCCTACGAGCTCAGTTTTTCCCCCTCCTATGTTCTTTTCACATTTTTAAACCTACCCATTGTACAGCAGCACCCACACAGCTTTTCCAGAGCGGGGGTAGGCCACGCAGAAGTGTACCAGCAGAACTAAAGTGGGATCCGGAGAGTTGAGGAGCCGCACTTCCAGATTGAGAGGCTTCCCCAGCATCATCTTCAAGGGCTGGTGATACTGTGGGTAGTACCTTTTGTACTGGTCATCTGCCGTGTAGGTATATAGGAATAGCATTTCACTCTTTCATAAGCAAGCACAAGATCTCAAAGCTGAACTGGATGCAGTTTAAGATATTCATACGCTGCCTAAATATTTAATTTCCCCACAATTGTTTGTTATTCAATTATTTTTCCAATCCATCCCAACCAGTGTTGAATGGTTATTTGATATTAAAAAGCATTTTGTCTTGAAATTAGTACAATTTACCTTCAGCAATCCTTAGCTGAACTCCAAATGCCCCATAGGACTGAATTTCAGGACCGAGGGTGGGAGTTTTAACTATGTAGCTCACAGTCAGAACTGTTCCTGGCATGTACCTGCACTCCACCAGCAGCCTGAGAATTAAGACAGAAGATGTGATAAATAATATTTAGACAGTTTAATCATTTATTGTCATTTCTTCATCTTTGTTGCATGTTATTCATCCACCAAACTGTCCATCATGGAGTTATTCACTCCATCCTTCAGTGACATGACAGAAGCTTTCTGTGAACACTGTGGGCATATTAAAGGTAAATATGGGTCTGACCTGACAGGAGAATCTCTTGTGATAGTGCCATAGTTGAGGCTGATTGCCTGAACCATGTTGATGACTTCTACCATATAGACAACAGTTTCCCCCAACATCTGTTAGGACGGGGAAAAGGAATTTCTTAATGCAAACCAAGGGAATCATGGAATACAACTGGACTTTTCATTATTTTCTCCAATTAGCTATAGACTCATTAAATCAGCACTCGAGTAACTATAGGAAACACTAAATATTTGAAGTAAATGTGTGCACTGGTCAAATCTCACCACTCTGCGTGTCCCACAACCATCCATCGGGATCTTAAACAAGGCGTAGTCAGAAGTCACTTTCTGAGGTCTGCAGGTGAAGTTGCCGGCAGCGACAAGCAGGGCAGGGGAAAGAGGGGGCTCCGTGATGGAGGCAGGCACAGAGAAGACAAAGTGGCGGTCAATAGTGCACTCTGGAGGGGGATGCAGAAAGACAAACACAGATACACATGCACAGTTATGTAAAGGTCAGATGAACCAAAGGTCAGAAATCTCAGGAGGCAATTGATAATGAGACCCAAGGTATCTTATACCCTTTTCACATTTTGTGTCACTGCCAGCTTGAATCATGCTGCGCTGGCCCTGAATATCCCTCTTCACACATCCAGCAGCTGTAGCGCTTACATTTCTGCACCCAAAACATCTCAAATGTACTCAGCTAAGTGGTGTGAAAAAGCCAGTGGGGACGCAGACTGCAGCTCACCATCCATGGGGTAGTAGCAGGCAGGGGGGTGCTTGTTGAAGCAGCAGCCCATGGAGAGGCACTGTGTCTGGGATAGAGAGCTGGATCCACAGGGGAGACGCTGTTCGTGAGGAAGGTTGCACTCTGAGGGACAGCACGACAAATGTCAGCCACACAGTTAAAATAACTCTGAATGGCCAGGAGAAAACAACCTTTGGCAAATTGAACAGCCTTTCAGAGGAGTAAATATTAAGTCTATCTACCTTGCCTGGGCCCCGAGATGGTAACCGGACAGGAAAACTGAGACTCCTTTTTGCCATTTACTGTCATGTAGATGACAGTGATGATGTATAGTGTACCCTTTTAGAGAAAAATGTTTATACCAGAGTTAATAGGCACATAAAATAGTCAATTATACAAAAAGGTCATATGCTCAGTGTGAAATCCAAGTCAATACTTGCCTGCACACTCATGTGGCAGCGTGAGTGCAACTGTAGATTCAAATGGATTTTGCCATCTTTGCCTTTGCTTGCAGAGTACCCACATTGCTTTGGGGCATCCTTGAGGTTCATCTGGTTCCCCTTGATGTCTGAAAAATACATTTGGAAACGCACAACAAGTTATTTTTGTGTGCACTTTAAAGCGGCACAATTATAGATCTCAGCAGGCGTAAGGGGCTCCGTTTAAGCACTCCCCAGTCAAAACAAAGACCAAGTCTGCCACTCCCACTCACAGTAAACCAAAGCCCCTGAACCATGTAGTATTCAACTCATGCAGAGATGATGGCAAACATATGCACCTGGAACGCATACACCACCACACAGACGCACACACCTTTAACAACTATTTCTGAAATGGGACCAGAGGGGAGCTCCACAGTCATCTCATGAGAAGAGCAGAAGATTTTAGGCTTTGGAACAGCAGACGGGCCGATCCCATCCTTGGTGGTGCTTGGTGGGGTTGGTGTGGGTAGTGGGGCATCTGTAGCAGGATTGTCAGAGGGGCTTTGAAATGGGCACTCCAGGTCCACAGTCCTGTACTGTGCCATGGAGAAGTCCCAAAACCGTAGAGGTAAGGAAATGGTCGTGGGAGTCTACAGCAAGAGAAATCAAAATCAATAAGAGCAACCACGCATGGTTTCAAGCGCTTGTATTCAAAAATAAAGTCTGCCAGTGGAGGTCACAAAACAGTTCAGCAGTTGGGTTGCAGAGAACATTTTTTTTTTTTTTTTTTTTAAATAAATAACTCCACCCAACACCGATGCATGCAGAACCAGTGCTGCATAGTCCATATGGGATTAATCATAAATATGCACTGCTGACTAGGAAGAACTGCCCGGCTGTGTTCTATATGCAAGCAGGACTTGCTGTAGTGACAACACAAATGGTGCAAACTGCCATCATCAGCAATTCAAAATAGCTTTATATCTTGCCATGTTGCTGTAGAGGACTGCAGTTCATCTGTGCATTTGTTCCCCCCCATCCATTTATTCATAGAGTAATGAAAATTTAACAGACAAAAGAAAAATGGAAAGCAACCAGGCAACAGACTCAGAAATTAACAGTTTAACCAACACTTGAATAATTTTCCTGTCAGTCTGTCATTGTGATACCACTGAATATCACAGTACTCAAGGATTCCCTTTGAGCTGCCTTGTTTTTAATGCATGTGCCATTTTATCCTGCATATCCAAAACAATCGTCCACAAGAACAAAACCACTGACAGGTGAAGGAAACATCGATCGTTGATCATGTCATTACAATGCTGTGTTCTCTTTAACCTGCTGGAACCTGGCATCCTTTTGGCTCATTAGTATGACAACACCCACCTAAACACCATTACAATCTGAGCAGATAGAGGTCAGGTGTCAATGCCATAACAAGTCAGAACTGCTTTGATGGATAACTTGAACCTACACAACATTTCAGGAGGTGGTTCTAAAGTTGTGTGACCGATGTCGACGTCTCATTCCAATTCAATGACTACACGCCTGAAGTTGGACATTGCATCATCAGCAACATTACGCGATTAAAAGACATACAACGGCTGCCTTATTTTCCAAGTTAGACATTTTCAATAATGCACACAGTTGGCATTTTGGGAATCAGTGTGCTATGCTCCCATTACAAAACACAAAGTTAAAGCAACAATGCAAAAAAAACCCCACAACAAACACAAAAATGGCAGACTAAACGCACTGATCCCACCTGTAAGTAGCTGTGGCAGGCAGGCAGAGGAGAGTGGAGAATTACCCCAAAGCCCTCAGTCATCTGTAGCATGTACCCACAGAATGGAGCCACACTGGAGACGAAAGTCCAGATGTTTGTTTGGTCTGGAGTAGGAACCAATATTAGTTAGATAACTGCAGATTACATACATTTTTCATCTTGAAAGTAAAACCTGATTCAAACATACTGACAGCGTTTCTAAGCTCATCTGGGAAAAGCTATGTTATTTCAGACGTAAATGCACACTTATTTTAAGACCATGGTTTTCTCCAATGTCTCTGGTGACAAAAATAAACAAACCAGCTTGTTCTTTCTGAAAGTCAGATACTAAATTCTTACCTTACTATAACTAATTATGAATGCAACAATAAAAAAATACGGAAGCTAAACAAACAATGTTTCACCGTGTTTGAAGGGTTTAAATGTTAAAACATTTAAACAGGTCAGAGCCTGGTTAGAAATTAATTTCCACAGGAAATTATACTTGAGTCAGTGCACCCCTGCCTCCACAAAAAGTGATGAAGACAAATTGTGTCGAACCTTCCACTAGAAAAAACTAAATCTTTGAGGGAAAAAAATAAATAAATTCTTTAAAGCCATTGTAAGTTTCATCTTTGGTACATGAGTTTTAGTAAGTTTGAGACTTCTACATGGTAAATGACCTGTATTTGTATAGCGCTTTACTTAGTCCCTAAGGACCCCAAAGCGCTTTACACTACATTTAGTCTCACACACACACACACACACACACACGATGGCAAGCTACATTGTAGCCACAGCCCACAGTCAGTGGGGCGCACTGATAGAGGCGAGGCTGCCGGACACTGGCGCCACCGGGCCCTCTGACCACCACCATGGGATACATCACTGGGTTTTTTTTCCCCCCCTTAACTAAGTAATTGCACAATTTGTATGTCTAATGCAGCAAACATGACACCTAGTTAAATACTTATGAGTTAGAGTTATGGTTTAAAAAACAAAAAAAAACAAAAAAAAAAAACACACATGTCAAATATTAAGTATATGTTGCTGTGATTTCTTCAGCAGCACCTCAAATCACAAATATACCTGACTAAGGATTTCTTCTTTAACCGAGGCAGCTGGCAGTAAAATAATATAAAGTGTCACAGCTAGTCTGTTTATCTAACTACTTGCCAACACAAAGAGCTCTTATGTTTGGACAAACACCAACCTTTGACTTGTATAGAGTCTGGGTGAGTAAAAGGCAAGAAAGCAACCATCCTCCCAGTCATACACTGGAGATTAGGAGTCCATGGAGAGGGCCCAGCTGGGGTTGTAGAGCTTGTGGTGGGGGGAGTAGTAGTGGTGGTGGAAGGCTTTGGTGTCGTCGCAGGTGGTTGAATCTCTGGATACCGAGGCAGAGGGGGGTGGGGTGGAATGTAGTGTGGTGGGTAGAGAGTATGATAAACATGGTAAGGATAAGAGCTACATATTGTGTGACTGTGAGGCAGACAGATCTCTTGTGGAACTGGTTTCTGAGGTTCCTCATTGGCAGGTGTTGGAGATTCAGCTGGTTGTAGGTAAAACAGATTTGAGAGAAAGTTGTAAGCCCTGGTTTTAATAGGGTCAAGTGGAGCAGCAGAAGGTTTTTGGTAGGACACTGGCCAATAACCATAATAGGAGCTGTAAGAAGAAGCTGGAGGACCTATAGGCTGTTTAGACTGAGATGAAGGAGGATATTGTGGACCAGGAGGCAGAGGAACATGTGGCTGGTTTACTGGTTCAGGATAGTAAGGCATCTGAAGATAGTACTGAGGGTAAAGAGGATGTGATGGAGGTTTGGCTGGTTTTGTAAGTGGAGGAACAGTAGTAGTGGTGGTTTGAGGTGGTGTGGTTGTAGCTGGTGTCACTGTTGGGTAGTAGAATGACATATGGGAGTAATCAAATAGATACTGAGGAGGTAAATTAGGCACTTGATGTGGAGACTGTCCATTTTCAAGTGGACGAGGATTGGGATCAGGCCTGGCCAGCACCATGACTGGAGAACGGTAGTGAGAAGGTGGATATTTCAAGGAGCCAAAAGAATAAGGTGACTTCCCAGGAAAATTGGGCTGGTAACTGGGAGGACTGTCACCGGTGGGCTGAGGTGGCTCTTTGGCTTGTGGCCCAGGAGGGTAGAGCTGGAGGAACTGGGGCAGCTGGGGGAACTGGAGACCAGGATAGCTGTAGTCAGGATAGCCCGGAAATTTTCCGTGTTCTGGGGTTGGAGGTGGAGGAGGGGAAGGTCCAACGGGATCTGGGATGTTGGGATACTGAGGGTTGTCGGGAGACAAAGGTGGAGACCAAGGTGTAGAGGGTGCATAGGGGAACCAAGAAGTGACTGGGCAGGAGAGAATGTATTCATTATCACCAAACACAAGCTCAAGCTGGAGACCATCCTGTGGGGGGGGGGAAAAAAAAATTAAAAGAAGTGTTGCAGATATTATTGCAAGCAAACAGTCTGGTAATCCAGTTAAAATAGGAAAACTTACTCTACTGGTGAAACAAGGAGCACTGGAGTAGATGAACAAAGTATGCTCCTCAGACTGGGAGTCGATATAGTACGCACACTGTTCAGATACAAATGGATGCAAAGCTCCATTCACTGCAAGACATTGAACATACTTTTGTTTTGTTTTTTTAACTCAATTGACAATTAAAACCACCAGTGTTTAAAAATTGCATAAATTTCCACTATTCTTCAAGACCAGAAGCATTAAGCTATCTCCTAACTTTACATAAAATACACAAAACAAAAAACCTTTCACTCCCAATGCAGGTATATCCTTCTCCTGTGCATGTATCTGCACTGCCATGCCAAAGGAGGAGCAGAAGACTGAGGGTGGTGAAAGAGGGAACGAGGGTGTAGGAGTGGATATCCGAATTGGGCAGGAGAGCTTCAGCGGGGTGCCCCACCACAGCAGGGGCAGCATGTAACTGTTATTCTGACAGAAAGCAGCACGACAAAGTCAGGGGCAGTTAACACAGACCACGAGAGACTATGATGGGTGTCAAACGCTGCTGCTGGTACCTCCTGGGTGATGTAACAGGCGTCGTATGGCACCATCATCTCAAGGTCACTCCACGATGTCCTTAGAGTGTAACCACAGTATGGAGGCAACTGAAACACCGAGATCGGAGAGGTTCCACTGTAGAAACAAAAAGTGTAAAAGACGGGGGGGGGGGGGGGGGGGGGGGGGGGGGGTTTTTTTTTTTAATTTCTTAATATATTGAAATCACATATGGTGAGCCCTCCCTCTGAATATAATGGTATAATGGCGCAAAAAAAAAAAAAAAAAAAAAAAAACCCCAAAACAAAAACACACAAGACATGTCTTCCAACAACACCAACTTACCTCTGTCCACTGACAGGTGTGTAAATCCTTGACCGGAGGCAGTGAAGACCATGACATCATCATCACACTCCACCAGAGGACTCATAGCCTGCCACTCAGAAAAATGTGTACTGGACTCAGAGGATAGGCCCAAAACCTCCCCCTGAAAACCTAGAGGATTAAAAAGCCAAATACACATCAAAGATGTAGTTCTTGTCTTTAAATTACCCACCCAGTTTGGCATAGCAGTCATTAGATGTGCTGGGTATTGTTTGTTAATGATAGAAATGTGTAGCAGAAGCAGAAGTGACTGTTTTATCCTTCATGCTGGCTGCGCCCTACATTTCCCAGAATGCAAGTCGCTCACAGTTTAGTTTTCAGGTGTGCTGCAGCTATATGGGTATCCTTACTATACCCGACCCAAACTGACTCAAAGGAATTCCTACTGAAGCAACTAAAGGCTTAATAAACGCCAGCCTTTACTCACCACATAAACCACCTGTGAATAACATATGAGAGTTTGAGGTTAACCTGTAAAATCTGCTTGATGTCCATGTAAAGACTCTGGAGTCGAGGACTTTGGTTTCACGCTAACATTCCCAATATTCCAAGACAAACTCTCGGGCACAAATTTGACGTCTGACTTCTTAAGGTCTTGTGCACTAAGATGTGGGTGTGGCTCTCCAGATCCAGGCTGAAGTTGAAGCTTGTGAAGTCTCTGTTCGTTAGATTCGCGCAGATCACCATATCCTGTCCCGGTGTGCTGCCTAGCTGGAGTTTTGTCCTGTTTAATCCTCTTCCCTTCTGTAGCTGTAAAACCATCCTCCCACTGTCCTAAACTTACTGAACAACACAGCTGAAACATGTAAAAATAAACAGTTGCCACAAATAAAAATATACTTTTTCCTCTTTTCTGTTTGCAAGACATCGCCGGAATGGACGCTTCTTGCCCGCGTGCGCGCAGAGGGCCTCACCTGAACGCGAAGGTGACCAATTAAGTCATCAAGCACGAGCCAATTAAAAAGCCTGCACAGAGAGAGAGCGAGAGAGGCTGTCGAGCGAAAAGCTTGATGGGAAATTTGATAACGTTAGCACCAGAATGAATATGTTTGCAAGTCTCTGGGTGAGTCTGGCTGTTATTGTTTTAAGGTTATATTATATGGTCCATCAGTTTTAGTATGTTAGGTAATTTGTCTGCTATCCCTAGCATATACATCAACTGCAGTATGTTGACGTCATACTGGGATATTTAAATATGTATTTTTAACGTCATGTCTAACAATTCCTGAAACTCAAAGACATCAGAACATTTTGGAAGCTCAGTATTTTGTAATTTTTTTATGAAATTAAATACAAACTTAAAATATTACCTAATTATCAAAGTAGTTGATTTTTACTTTAAAATTCGAATTGATGAAATATTATTGTGAAATGTTTTGTTTCTTGCGGACTTGTAACTATGGGGGTTTTTGTTTGTTTGTTTTTTTAATAATACTGTTTTCTGAGTTGCAGTGTTCATGGTCTGACAGATATGGAAGCTTGCTTCAGTCACTGAGGAAGAAAAGATAAATAAATTAAAACTTTCTGACATCTATAAGTCAAATTTCAAGTTATTTTCTCAGCACTCCAGGAATTTTAAGGTACCCAACTTAAAATCTGTCAACAAGGAGGAGGCAGACAGGGCGACTGGAAGTCCCTCAGCATTTTTATTCCTTATTCCATATTTACATGATTCGGCGAAGAGAGTCGCGAGGTGTTAGGACACGAGGAGGAGATTCATGGGAGCGTGATAATGGTGGAATATTCCTTGGCTGTTGTGCCGCTGCTTGAGGACGGGGCTTAATCCTAAAGTTAAATGGCTTTGATAATAGATTGGACGCCCTGTGCCGCGACAGTACTGCAGGGAGCTGAGGAGACTGGTCTAAGAAGAGCAAAGTGATTTGATGTGGGAAGATGGGTGTTGCAACTATTTCATCACATCAGTGTTTTAGTTGGAGGGGAAGAGGCGGAGGCTTTTATTGGTCTGCTAAGATAGCAAATAGAAGACTTTATGAGCTGTGCACCAACACTGGAGGACATTAAATGGGGCTTTAGAAAAACGTGACCTTCTCCATAAAACTGAGATATTTTTAAGGCCAAAAAAATAAACTGATTAACCAAGAAAACAGCAGACAAATGATTGTAATAACCTTTATTCACAGACATAATTGAAAAGACTAACAGTTCAAAGTTTTCCCCAAAATACACCCCAGTAAAAGATAAAGATGAGCTCGCATCGATTCCTTGGGATTTTAAACTAGAAGCAGCTACTTCTGCATAATACCCTTTCACTGGACACCCACTGCACAATGGATGTTAGACTGCACACTCTGCAGAGGCCCACATGTTGTGACAGGAATAGAAAACTCCACTGAGTCAGAAGTGGCATAAAATGGGAACCAGCGCTGCTCCGCACCCACTCAACATTTACTGTGAGGATATGACGAACCGTCAGGGGTCAGATGTAATGGTTTTGACATCTATTCAGACTTACTGCCAGGAGAAAATGCTTCTCCGAGTTCATTCCCACACCCTCTGACAATAATATAGCTCTCAAATGATTTTCATCTCAGCAGCACTACAATAAAAACAGAGGCCTACACTATTAGCTCTATTATCACCCAGACGCCATTGCAAAAGGTTATGTAACACAGAGCCTGTGAGAAATGTATTCACTTCAAAGGAGACATTTGGGTTGAATGGCATTTCAACTGTGTGTCTGTCATGTATTTACAGCTTCAGCTGATCATTATTATTATAATTCTGGTGATTATTTTGTCAATGAAATTGTCAGCTAAATGTCAAAAAGTAAAAATGCCATCCTGATCTATCACCGTCAGTTCAGAATCCAAAAATATTTCATTTCTTCACCAAAACTGTAATCACTGATTGCTTGATCTGGCAAAATTCATGCATCCCTCTATATAGCCATTTTCTTCCTCTTATCCAGTTCAAGGTCACAAAGGGGCAGAGCCTATCCCAGTTATTATATTATATATGGTTAACTGCAATCAAGTGCTCACACAACAGTGCTTAAAGCATCTGCACATTCACATAAAGAGCATCCTCTCTGACCAAATAAGGAGGATGCTGGATTGTGTTTGTCCACTTCACTCTGGAGCTGCTGTCTAGCACTGCGGGACGGATCTGACAGTTATACGCTCTGGCCTGATCAGCAGCCACAATCATGAACAAATATGATGAATTTAAATAAGTAATACAGCAGCTGCAGCCAAACACAGGAAGTAAAGCTGGCAAATAAACTGCTGGCTAAGTGAATGTGTTGCAAGGCTGATCAATATCTCTGCCCGATCATTACAAATGTATTTGAACAGAAGATGCCTACAGGTCTCTCCTCTTTGTTCTGAGCTCCTCACAGTAAACAGGAATGGGCCTAGGGATGCTTATAGGCTTGGCTTTGTATTGTTTTATTATGTTTTTTGGATTTTCACCTAATCAGACATATGTACATCTATAAAAACTCACTGACCACTTTATTAAGGATACCTTAAAAAAAGGTGGTTACTGGTTGACACAAATACCCGATCAATCAATCACATAGCAGGAACTCAATGCATGTAGGCATGCAGTTCAGTTCTGTGGATGATAATCCCATCAGAGGTCAGAGGAGACTGGCCGTACTGCAGTAACTCAAATAACCACTCATTTCAACCACAGCAAGCACAAAGGCCATCTCTGAATCCACAACACGTTGACCCTTGAAGCAGATGAGCTTCAGCAGCAGAAGACCAGACTGGCTGCCACTAGTGTTGGCCCAGAACAGCAAACTGAGGCTACATTCACACGGGCTCACCAAAATTGAACAACAGAAGATTTGAAAAACACTTCCAGTTTTAAAAAATCCAAAGTGCTTTACACTAAAATAAAATAGGGGGGAAAAAAAGGTTACATACTCAAATTTCCACCACTGTCACCCGATCCCATCCAGTGAGATGTGGTGAAACATCGTGGATGTGCAGCATCCAGCATCCAAATAATAGTGATACTATTGTGTCAATATGGGTACAAATCTCAGAGGATTCCAGCAGCTTGTTGAATCTATGCAAGGAAGAATTAAGGCTCGAAAGGAGGTCCAACCCGGTGTTAGGAAGGAATACTTAAAGTGAGTCTATGTATCCAAGTTCCCCCTCCATGAAAAGGTTTCATCAGATTTGGCACACATGTTCACTCTGGCTCAAGGCTGAAGTAATTAAGTGGAGCTCCGTGCTAAACTGCACAAAAATATATCCCCCCTCCTGCTCTACTGTACATTCTCAACTTTCAACACTGAACTGTGTAAACTGTCCGGGTTAGGCTGCTCATACGGACTGAATCTATACTGTCAACAAATGAGGGAATAAGTGAAAGAGCAAAGGAAGCAATTACTGTATCTGTCTTCATCCCGCCTCCTGCAGGATAAAGCCACCGTTGTAGCACTAACACCAGAAGTTCCTCAGTCTCGACCTGAGTCTGGTCTTTAGTGAGCTACCAGAGCCCGAGGGGAGATAAGGGGCCTGCCAGGCAAACAAACTTCACATCCAGATAGAAACGTTAATTTATAAAGCTATTTATGTGAAAATGGGAAAATCCATAACCGCTTAAGCTTGCTTTAACCCAAGACAGATGATGAAAAGCTTTTCTAGATGTGCACTGTCTGACAAGTAATCCCTTAATTACGCGGTTCTATTTGACCAGAGCCGACAAGCAGAGCTATCTGACAATGTCAGTTTAGAATATGACAGTTTCTGAGGTTCAAGTATGACAGTTTGTCTATAACTGAAGCCTCATGTATGTTAACATAAGGCGTTATTAATATTCATCACTGACATTTATTCTCTGCGTTACTCCTACCCTTTTGTTTTCTTATTTAACAAAGGCTTGCGTTTCGGAGGAAAACTAAATCTATCGGCGATCTATCACGAGTTCATAAAGGTCAGAAAAGGTTTATGTGTATATTATATAAATTGCATTTCTGATGGAAGCTCAGGCCACTGCGTGCCTCATTAAACTACCTGAAAATACCCAGGATTTGAATGTCAGTACCTCAGTATTTTTGGTATTTTACTGCGTGTCTGTGTCTCTGGGGTAATGACTGCCTATCTCAGTCCCGGCTGCTTCAGAAAGCAGCTGCTTTCTTACCAGCATTAGCAAAGAGCAAAACATAACCCCAGTCTGGGCTTCTCTCCACTGGCTTCCTGTACGGTTTAGAATTGATTTATTGATTTCTGCATTTTACTGGCCAGTTTTAAAGCACAACCCCGTAATGTCATTTGGGATTGCAAACCCCCTGGCAGCCTTAGATCATCACGCTGAAGCTTAAATCTAAAGCTGTCTGTGCGTTTGTCATCAGGGCTGTTCAGCTTTGGAACAACTTTGCTGAAGAGATGAGACTTGCAGAACAGAGTAATTTTCTTTAAATGGCTTAATAAAACACTCTGACATAGACACAAAAATGTCCTTTTATGTGCAGTTGTCTTTTATTGTCCTTTTATCATTTTCAATTATCTTTTTATTGTTTGTTACTGTTATTTCTTTTATTGAGTTTATTCTTTTTGTTGGTATTTATTATTTTATATTGACATTTTGGCATTTCTGCATATTTTCTCTCACTTTGTTTTAACCCTACCTTTGCTTTAACCTCATCACTGTTTGCTGGCATCACACTCTGGGTCTCTTTCTGGGAATTCCTTTCTCAAGGCACAAAATATAGGGAAGAAAATGTTTGAATTAAATACACAAACTGATTTACTAATAGATCGTGACATGCAATTTGCTGCTAGTTGCGCCGATATTCAACACAAAAAAGGGCACGTCTTATTTTTTTGCACTTTATATTGAAATGACCTGATGCCTCCTATCCTTAGAAAACAGCACAACTTTTGTAAATCACCTGTAAAATTAACCACACTTTTGAGTATGATCACTATTTGGAGATTGCACTCATATGGTATTTTGTATTT